GGGACTGCGCCTTGTAATGTTCCATGTGCCGTCGCATCTGCATTTGCGCAACCGCCGTCGGCTGCGGCGCGTCGGCCCCCGCCCCCCGCCACCCCGCTCGGGCAAGGGTGCGGGCATCTTTCGCTCTCGAGAAACTCTCCGCGACATCCACCTGCTACTTCTTCAAATTCGACGTCGTCTACCTTCGCGCGTGGAGACGCGAACGACCCATGCGCTACTGACCCGCAGGCTGGCCGACCCCTGCTTAACGCGGCCCCCCGCGGGAAGAGTTGCACCCCTCCTTCGGCCGTTGACTTGGTCAGGGCCACGCGAGCCATGACAGCGCGGCGGCCTTGGAAGGACTGCGCCAGCGACGACGCGCGCGGAACGGATGCCAGGGGACATTGCGCCACTGATGGGCGGGAATCCGAGGGCTGATGCACGCGCAGCGGAAACGCGCGCGCCAGGTTCATGGCCCACCCTGGTCGGTCAGGGCGCCCTCTGGGAACCAGGCCGCCTGGGCCCCGCCGGCGACGCGGGCCGCGCGTTCAGCGACGCTGGCAGCCGCGTCGCGGGCGGGGCCTTACTGAAGAGGATGACAGCGGTGCGGGCGCGGACGCCGCATCATCTCATCGCGCCGCGCATTGCGTTTAGGGCGACCTTGCCGATTCTACCTCAGGCAGCGCCACGGCAACAGGTGGAGACGCAATATGCGCGAGCCCGTTCGCCGGGCGCGACGCCTCCTGAAGCGCGGATTCGAAGGTAAAGGGCGCTGCGGCCAAAAACGCGCGTCGCTGCGCTCGCAGACGAAGCGCGCGAGGATTGTTTTTTTTTTTTTTTTTTCACTCTGAGGTCGCGGCGAAGGCCGGGGCGCGGGCGCGCGCGCGATAGATCGCGGTCATCGGACAACGGGAAGGGCCGCCCGCAGACAAGTACCCCATTGCCATGGGGTTCCAAATCGTGAAGTGCCATAACTACAACGCAAACCATCCTCGTGCTCGCGAATGCCTGCATCCACCGGGCGCGGCGCCCGCAGCCTCAGATACATTGCTCGCAGGCCCCTGCTCACGCGTCTGCGCGCGTCGCGGCCCAGCTCGGGGAACAAGCGCGGGATGGACAGGAAGAGAAGGCGCAGTTGCTGCAACTGCCTTGCGGGATCTCATTAGCTTCAGTCAAACAATATGAATTTGGTCCAGAACCGCAGCCTGGCCATCCTGCCGCCCCATCGCGCTGGGCGGTCCAAGGGTGGGCGCGCCGGAATTGCACAATGTGCAACGACGACGCATTCGCCGCGTGCCCTCTGCGCCAGCGACCAGACCCGAGGACATGGGTACCTGGAGTATAGCGATCAGCTTATCCACGTCCAGACAAGCCCTCTGATGACGCAGAGGAGCGCGCCACTTGCACTCTGCGCACGATTCGTGCGGCGGAGACGCGGACAGCGGGAGCGACCCACATGCGCCGCGCCCACCGCGAGGAGGACTGGGCGCCCCTGGACCCAGACGACTAGCTGGCCAGGGCGCACACAGCAGGCATGAGTGCGCGCGTCGACGTCGCTCGACCCGCGCCCGGAGGGCGACCGAACCGTTCGAGATCATCGCGAAGATCAACTACTTCATCTCGCAGCCAACCACCAAGGGGGACCAGGGAGATCGGCGCCAACGCCAGTCGGGGCCCCATGCCAGTGGGGTTCAGGGGACCGACCCTGCAGGAGCTGAATGAGGCCAGTCTGGTCATGCGCCCTGGCGAAACTGCTGAATTCGCGCGGGTGCGCGAAGCATCGCCATTATCACAGGTGCCCGGGCCTAAGACACCTGCACCTGCCCAGGCGAAAGCCCCGACCACAGCGGCGGGGAAAGCCAGCAGATCGCCGGGGTCACCGTCGCGCACTCAGATCCCGTCTCAATCTGCAGCTTCTTCTCGATCATCCAGCTGGGAAGGTTTCGAGATCATTGGCCGGCCAAAGACTAGCGGCTTCGAAGGGAAGGCGGAACAGACGCGCGCGGCTCCTGGTGGAGGTGCAGCTGGAGGATGTGTTGGTGCTTCTGAAACGGAGCAGCCGAGAGTCAAATATCCTCGTATCATGATGGTCTTTCTGACATCTCCGACAACGACAGCCCCTGCGCATCATGCGAGGCCAGGGTAAGGGCCGCTTACAGGGCGGCGTTTGTATATGTGCCTGAAACAAGGGCTGAGGACATCGCGGCGCTCAAAGCAAGAAGCGACTGCGACCTGAGCCAAGGAAGGTCGCCGAAGCAAAAGACGAGGTAATTGGTGATCAGTTCCTGCTTGCAACACGTGATGCACGAAACGTAGATTCTCTCAAGAAGAACTTCGAATGTTCAGGTAAATAACAGAGGCCACCAACACCATCAAGACACACGCTGCCCCCGCGCGTCACATGACAAGAGTCAACACCTTAAATCGCAGCCCGAACTTCCAGCTGCTGCTGGAAGAGGCGAGGGGCATGCGAGGTGACCCTAATATTTATCAAGCAAGCGCTGTAGACATGCAGCGAACACTACGAGAATCACGTCATGCCATGCTACGAGACGAGGGCCGTGCCCAACGACATCTAGAGGCAGCTAGCTCTGGCTCTGGCGCTCGGGGGAATCCGACCGCTGCAGGGTCGGGCCCAGGCGCTCGGGGAGACCCGGCCGCTACTGACAGGGGCAGCCGCGGCGACCCCAGGGGCGCAATATCTAATGTGGCAAATGCCCGGTGGGCGTTTGACATTCCTGCCCGTCTGCTGGATCAAGGCGGTCTTCCAGGCGAGAGCAAGTACCATGGTAAGGAACCCCAGAGACAGCTTCTTCCATAAGACGAACTTGCGATAGGTCTCGATGGGCGCGACAACAGTTTCCGCCTGAGCGGCGAGGGCCGTGATCTCGTGAAAAAGATGCCGCATGTGCCTTCGGATTTCGCTGCAAGTCCGACGGAGAGAAGCCGTCCGCCGCGCCATTATTTCTAACCAGCGGAGGCGCGAGTGGCGACTGAAGACCGACGTCGAAGGCGAAGGCTGGATGGACGCCAACGCGATAACCCCGCACCGCGATGGAGGAACATGACGCGCGTCATGCCGGCTCCGCGACTGCGCCGCGGACCTGCTGGCATGCCTCGCCAAATCCATTTCAAAGGTCTGTGAGAAGGACCGGATGGAATGACGTATTTGGAGGGGCGGCAACATGGGCGATGGCCGGTGCGACGCGCGCCAGATGCGGACCAATCAGGGTCGCGGAGCTGGCGCGGATATCGACCCAGACAAGCTCTACGAAATCACCGACCTTAACGCGCTGGATACGGAAACGCTCCCAGGATCGATGGCCCATGGCACATCAAGTCGGGCCCTGGGCAGCACGCATCACGGCCCTGCTGGCGGCGCGTCACGCCGCGGGCGGCGCGGCGACCGCAGCGGCGGCGGCTGCGGCATGGCGCGCGCAATCCAGCGCCAACCACTTTCAAACCATAAAGACATTATGAGGAGTTTTCCCGGCTCAGCGGCGATTGTGCACGTTTCGATCGAGGAACTCCGCGGGGACGGCGCGCGCGATTGCTGGGGCAACATCGGGGCATGTTTAGCGCGTTGGTGCGACGGGAATGTTCTTGCAAAGTGCTGCTTCAAGGTCGTGGACCTCGACCAGAACGTGGCGCGGCGCAGCCCGTCGTCTGGATCCGTTCCCGCCGCCCCCCGGCCGCTGCGCAGGAATGCCAGAGACGACGGTTGGAGGACACTCGCTGCTGTCGACGAACGGCAAGCGTTGGACACGGCAAATCCATTATGAGTTCGCCCACCACGACCAGTGAAATCAGCTCCCGGCGCCGAGCCACCAACGGGAAGACCACCTTAGTCCGAATATCACACGCCGGGACGCCGGGAGCCAGAGGACGCCATGCTACGACGTGGCCCATTGAAAGGTGGTTGACCGAGCCCACCAGGCCGAGTCAACCTTTTGCGACGAGCGTGGCAAGAACGTCTAGAACAACGACAACAACAGCCACAACATGTTCCACCAGCAGCGGCCACAGTTCGCGGAGACGCGATCGACCAACAAGATCAACCGTTTCAGGATCCAAACCTTGGCCGCTCCGACGAGGTACGAGACCGATGTTATATGCCACAACAGGCAGGTGATCCATTCGATGAATCCGATCAGCGACAACGAGCAATACTACGTCCATATGCCTGGTTCCCCGGCCGCGCCGCCGACGATCGCACTTCGCATCCGCGCGCGATGTTCACTCGACCTGTTTTTTTTCTGTTGCTTTTCAGCGCCCACAACGTGAACCTTCTGCCCACCATTATCTCTAGCAGATTTAGCGGAAAAAAAAGGAACGGCCGCCCCTCAATCCACTAGCGAACCGATTTAACAACATATGCATCAGACAGACTGCAGACGAATCGCCGCAGCTATCGGCCACAAGCACGTGCACGTGCACTTCTTTCACGTGCAGCCTACGACCCGAACCGAGCCGACCGAGCACGGCGAACCCGCTGCACCCCCGGGAGCGACCGTGCAACGACGCTCCCGAGCTCTGCCATCTTACATCCCGGACATCCGCATCGCACAACAGGTGACGAGGCGACGCGCGGCACATTTGGAAACGCAGCGCCAGCGGCGGAGGAGGAGGAGGAGGAGGAGGACGAGGAGGAGGAGTACGAGGAGGAGGAGTACGAGGAGGAGGATTACGAGGAGGAGGAGGAGGAGGAGGAGGAGGAGGAGGAGGAGGAAGAGGAGGAGGAGGAAGGCAGCGGCAACGACGGGCTGTGGGATGCAGTATCCAACGAGCCTCGCGCTCCTCAACCCATCCCCACGCATGTGTCATCGTAGTGGTAAACACCACCTTGATATAGACAAGTACTATGGACATCCGTAATCATAGTAAAGATACTCGAGGGAGGGGTCGCTTGAGGATGCGTGGGTCCGTGGAGGAGGTGGAGGAGGACGAAACGGAGGAGGAGGAGGAGGAGGAGGAGGAGGAGGAGGAGGTTGCCCCCCCCCTTGCCATTCCCCAAAGAAGAGGCAAAGACCGCCGAGCTGGAGGCGCTGGAGGGCGAGCTCCACGAGGAACGCGAGGCGCGCGTCAGGGGTACCTTTTCCCGATCCGTGGGCGTGGCGCCCACGCGCCAGATCCACAGATCTTTGATCTCACTGCAACGCCGTTTCAAATACATGCTCCGCGTGCGGATCATGTATTCAAAATGCAGGGATTTTGCATTAAAAACAACGATGAGTTCATGCATACATTTATACATACACTAATCATGCATTAGACATCCCATATTTCAAACCATCCGATGTATTAGAAACTGCCCTGTGTGTCTGGGCACGGTGGCAGGGCGAGGATGGTTGATCGAGGATTCTGTCTCGGGCGCTCTGGGCGCCCTTTGGGGTGCGCCCAACGGCTGGGCGTAGCTGGCAACACGTGTTAAGGATGGGCTCTGGGCACCGGCAGGGCCTTGGAAACTCACACTCCGCCTCTGAGAGGCCGCCTCGCCCCGCAGAGTGGCATTCTCGGAAGTTTTTCTGAAGGGGCGCTGGTCCTTCCGAGACGACCCCTTGCCTCCCCATGACGCACCCTCCCCGCTTCGCCGAAGCAGGGCGGGGCTGTGCAGGTCGCGTCGGAGACCAAGAAGGAACGCCTGGTGCCCTCCGCATCCGACACCCAGCCGCACGAGACGTGGCATCTGCAGCTGGTAGACTTCGAGATTGGGTGGTCGGACGCCAGCCATGGCCCACGCCCAGCCTAGCCAGTGGACAAGCCCAGCCTGGTCGGTGACGCCATATTCACGCGGCGGTGATGCCAGCGCGGGCCTGCCAGGATTTCGACCTGGACAAGTTCAAGGCTGAAAGTCGTCGGCCGCTTGGAGTGGTCCACGAGTAAAGACGACCTCCGATATCGGAAAGCAGTAATCGTTCAATATTAAACGATCCACAAAGTGTCAGAAAAAGCAAGGCCTCGGTCATCGCAGCGTGAGCCTGCGGTGTGTTCCTTCCTGGGCAATGCAAGAGTTCGACTTCACCGACCCAGGACCCAGAACAGGCCTGGCCGCCAGCCAGGAGCGGCGTGGTGCGTATAGCTGGCGTTCTCCCGAGGTGGGGTCATCGATTACTCGGCTTCAGCGACCACGTCAATCTCGTAAGCGGGCTGATCTATGGCGGCATCATCATATCTGTGTGCGCCGTCATGCTTTTCTGTTTGGGGCTGAAGGCCTCGAGCGAGGAAACAGGCGGCACTTTTCCACACGCGGCGCGGTGGTTCGTCTTCTTCTTGAATTTGCAGTTGTTTTTGTACGTCATGCTTGTATTCACTAAGATGCCCAAGCTCTGCTACATCCAGAAGTACTACTACCCACAGCTAGACTACAACTGTACGCTTCTCAGATATTTGCAAGTGGAGCATGCCCTGATGGTGATCGGCATATTCTCGTTTGCCATATGGACGTTTTCTAGCTACGCGTACGTGCTCACTTTCGGGGACAGCTCCAAGGCAGACAAGCCTGATTTCACGCATCAGCTCGAGACGATGCTCAACATGGATGACATCCACGCTGCTGAGCACAGGATGGGCTTGGAGACGTACGTCCCTGTCTCTGGGGCTCTCCTGGGATCTCCCAGGGTCTTGGGAGATCCCAGAGGCCCCCCGAAACTTCCACAGGCCCAACAGCGGCACGAACCGAATCATCTGTCGTTAATCACCGAATCACCGACTTCCGCTGTCCCTAGACTTGCGCTGGAGCGTCCACGATTGGCTCCAGAGTTCCCTGGGAGATCTGTGGATGTCATCACTTTAGTTGGACTTATCTCGATCTTTTCTGGATCCACCTCGGCTTACCTGGCTCGTTCCCCGCAAGGCGACGGGCAGAAGAGTCGTCCAGCCTTTTGGGATGTCACCCGGACCCTCGAGGCCCAGAGCCCTCGAGCCCCGACGCAGCCTCGCCCCCACCCCCCGAGGTGCTCCAGGCCTCGCAGAGAGGGTCGGCGTGGACGGGTCGGAGGATCGCGCCGCATCGCCGATGCACCGGCGATGCGGCTCGACGCGGACCTCTCGGGGTCGGAAAAGAGGTGGGTGATGACTAGGGGGGGGTGGATATCATGGCGAGGGCCATGATATTTCCCCAGATTTTATGGCGCCTCTTCTTGTTTCATTACGTCCCCGGCCCCCCCGCTGAGCCGCGCACATGCCGCCGGTCATGATTTGCACCCCCCCCTCTTGGACGCCCCCCTCTTGGCCGCTCCCGAACCTCGCGCTGGCGTCGCCGCTGCATCGCTCCGGTTGACTCCAAACTGGATCCAGCGACAAGGGGGGTGGTGCCACAGATTTGGTGCCATACGTTTCTGGGCTTGCAATCGATTCGGGGCGTGCAGTACACGTGGGTGCGCAGATGTGCTGCTTCATCTTCGCGTGCAATACATTAGCTGGACCCCCTCAGGGGACCGCATGCGAAACCTACCTCTGAGGGAGGAGGGTGGGGTTCACTTCGCTTGGGAGCTCCCGACCGAAGTGAACCCCACCCTCCCC